TAGTAGTAGTAGTAGTAGTGATAGTCGTAGCAGCTTAAGCCCTATAAACCCCAAACTAGCAGGTCACGCCTTCCTCAGCGCGTCTTCGTCTTCGTCCTTCTTCTCGTTTTTCTTCACCCCAGTGAATGCGTCTACCTTGATCTTCTTCGTGTCCTCAGATGTCCAAAAACGAGCCGTCATGAACAAAATCACAAGTGTTCCAGAAAGCTCCGCGTTCTTCGGTCTGATTCGGTGCCAGTGCTGGGCAGTCTTGTTCATGAAAGATTTTGATCTCGGTGCGGGATGTGGGGTATTTAGGATCTGGATCCAGAGCGCGAACCATCAAGCGCAGACTTAACATCGGGATTTTGACTTTTGCAAGGCTGAGCTTCACATCGCTCAGACAGTTGAGTTGAATTGACTGGAGACTCAGTGTATTGAACACTTCCAAAGTACGAATCATATCACTTGGGAATTTGGAAGCCTCGCGAGTGACCCCAAGCCGCAACTTGTAAGCCCAAAGCCCAAAGCACCTCTGTTTGAGTGTATGTTAACGTTGATCCTCGAACCGTGAACTCGAGCTTTGGGCAATCCCACTACCCATAGGCCCCATAGTAGTTCCTTTTTGGGACTACCTTATAGGATTCTATATATGAACCCAAAAAAGGAACTACTTTAGGGCCTATGGGTACTGTGTCAATCGGTTCACAGCGTCACGCGGCAGCCTTTGGGGTTGTTTTTGCTGCGGTGAATGCAACACTGCACGCCATCCGGACTCCTACGTCCACTGACAGCGCCGTAAAAGCCGAGTACGAATGATCGAATCGACTTGGCTTATGAATCATGGGCCAAAAACACGTGAAACCAAGCGTGTTGGAAGGGTAGCTCCTGAAAGTCAAGCTGTGCAGCACTGGAGCTAGACGTGGTGATCACGTCGTCTGAAGTGCAACTTTGACGAAGCTCAAAATATTCGTAATTAGGCCAGGAGTTGTTCCCGCCACCGTAAAACAAGTTGAACTAATTATTCCGGTCCCTGTTGAACCGAAGCACAGTCTCGGGTTTTTCAACGCCGGTCACATGGTGCGTCGCCGTTTGGAGCACAGCCCTCGCCATCTTTGTCCAGTCCTTCAATGACCGACTGCCAGAAACCAACGGGATCTCGGTTTGTCCCAGTTGTTTGGCAGGCTGTGGCCTTGTCTAATTCTGAGCACTCCTGGTCACAGGAGCAAACCAGGTAACAGTCCTGCACTTGTTGCAAGGCGTTGCAGCATTCCCCCACAGACGTAGCACCACTCATGACTTTGCTGTAGCCCGACTCGCCGCAAATCTCGTTCGATTGTGGGATCTTCTCGAGAAGGCAGTTCCCGATCAAGTCACCTCCATAATTTTAATAGGGGTTTTGGTTCATAGTATTACCGCAGGCTGGGAATAGGGAACTGTGTGGAATAACCTTGTTCCCGACCAAGTCACGATCACAACCACAGCCGGCAAGCATCGTTGCCAAGGCAGTAAGGGCGAGAGCTAAGATACCGCGACGAAGCGACATGGAGCTGCTTCTGCGCCCCTGTAGGCGGGAAAACGAAAACTACACAGACGTGCTTTAAATGCATGAGCTGAGCCGCGATTAGCCAGGGCTTAAGTTAAGGCCCTGCCTGACAACGTGCAAAACCCGCCATGCAACATAATATCTGACTGCGTCTTCCAGGAAAACACTCTGCAGCCCAACTATTCCTACCCTGGTATTGGTAATGGGAAAATAGTGGTGGTGATATGTTGGGTGAGACGTAGGGGGCAGGGCAAAAACCCCTTCCGCCCCGCAAAAGAAGATTCTGTTGATTATGGTTTGGGGTTTCGACTCTCACACTCGCACCGGCAAGGCTCCGCATAGTTGTGTCTCCGCTGCTAAGGGAGAGAGACTGAGAGAGAGAGAGAGAGGACTACCACTTGCCAGTACAAAGGAAGCATCGCAAGAAGTACAAAACTGTAGTGGCTGTTCCCATGTGATTGAGTCATTGCTCACCTGTTTCAATTTAGGGTTTAGGGTTTAGGGGAGCATCGGCCATGTTTCCACCTCGCCCACGAAGGCGGCAGAGTTCTTGCTCTTCTCAGCGATGGCCTTCGCTAGCGAGGACTGTTTCTGTGAGCGGGGGGTCCTTAACAGTGCAGGACATCATGGCTCGTGTCCAAATTATGATCTCATGTGGGCGTCTCTCATATCCTGAACACTACATAAGTGGGGGTTTGCGTCATGGAGTAACCATGACTTGAGTCAGTCAGCCATTGCGCATCGTGGGCGGTGTAGCAACAGGGAGCTGAGAGAACATCAGAGTAACAAGTGAGGGATACTGACAGTGAAATTAGTGAAGCCACAGTTCGAACTAGCAAGACCTGATATTGTATTTGAGCCTAGGAACACATACAAAGGGACAGGGCATAGACAACACACAACAGTAATAGCAAGCATAATTACATAGCTTTCCTTGGGTTGCAGTCGAGGAGTCCGTTGTCCAACTTGCTCCTTCCTGGCTTAGATATACTTTTTCGAGGCTAGGACTAAGAAGTAACTGCTGATGCAAAAATGCGCCAACCACCAATACCAGGCAAGAAGCGGGAGAGGCGGAGGGCGAGGGAGAGGGAGAGAGAGAGAGAGAGAGAGCAAAGATCCGAAGGGTGGGGGCGGATAAACGGAGGTGCAAGACCCTAAGCATTCAACAGCGACGAGTACTTTATCGACACCTGTGTACTACCTGTGCTGGAAACCTGTAGATCTTTACGCTGTCTCACAGCTGGGTGCTTTTAAGGGATGTGGTTCGATTTCGAATAATAGTGTTACGAAAATGGGACTTCCACGTTTAGGGAACTGTCGTTCAGTCCTGCGGTGCTTAGCTTTGCCGTTTTGGGCAACGACCTGTGCCTGCAAGCTTTGGCTTTTCCGGGCATAGCTGATGCAACATGAAAGCTGCTGCTCCAACTCCTCGCTACTCGTGCTGCTCCTACTGTACTCCTACTACTCCTATTGGTCAGTCCTACCACTCCTACTGCTCCCACAACTTCCATCACTCCGACCACTGCCACTACCACCCACGACGCCGACTTCTACTTTCTAGTAGTACCGTCGTTCTAATTCCTGCACGGGTGCCAGGCTTTGCGAAAGTACCGTCTTATGCCAAGATTTCACTCTACCTCGAAAGCGTCCGATACTTCCATTTGAAGACTGAGCGGTTTGAGGTAGGATTTGCAGGTTTCTTAGCATTACGGTCGGAGGTCTGGTGGCCTGGAGCCACTGACCTACGATCATGCCGGTGCCTCGCGCCAGAATCGCTTGGCGCCGCCCTTTCCCACAGCTTTCTCCACCTTCTCCAGACCTCAGAAGCCATATTCTGAAAGCTGGGTCCCATCACAAGACCACGAATCGGAATCAACTGCAGTGATCAATCCCATGTTCCCCAAAAAAAATTCAGCCAATGTGACCAAACAGTGTCTTGAGCTGACCTCGGTCATTCTCCGGGAAGACCTGCGTCAACAAGGGCAAGCCCACAGAAACTTTTTTTGGTCCTTCGTTTGTAAAGATCCCTTTGTTCGAGGATCTCTACTCTACTTTGAGGAATCTTCCTCTGCTCATGGATTTGGAGTCTCTGGGTTATATCAGGACGGTCAGTCACCGGTAACTGACGTCCGGAAGACCATTGGCTATTCGGTGCCTGTACGGATGGGCAGGGCCCCTACGAGTTCAAGCAGTTAGAGCAGTAACAGCGATCCTACGGCTCGCGGTACGTAAGACTTGGCCACAGCAAACATTAATCAGTACAAAATGACAGCTCTGGGCACGGTCCTCGGCATGCTGGCGAAATCCGGAATGTAGCACTCACGATTGCAGCGGCGGGTAGCCGCGTACGCTGAAGGATTGGGAGGAAAATGAGGAAAAGGAGTTGGAGCATCAGCAACTGCTTCATCGCCCGAATCTTGGTCGACAGGGCGTCGCCTTATCCAGCTGTGCCACCGCAGAAGCAGGTGGAGCAAGGATCGTGTCGCTGAGCTCCGAGGGAGCTGGTTTCAGTGCAGCACCTGCAACGAAAGAGAGCTCCTGCTATCAGGAAGCTAGCGATATACAATATAGTATAGTCTAGTCTAAGATAGTATAGTGTAATTGGTATGTTCTATAGTATAGCTTGCACGGGTTTTGTTGCCCAGTGTTGCGGGGAGGGTCGCGGGAGGGTTGCAGGCACCTGGCCTGGAGTCACAGCTCGCGACGCCAAGAAGTCGTAGAATCTGGCCAGGGATGGATTGCTCGTCTCCTCCGGCCTGGGAACTGAGGGAACCATGAACTCTGCGCTGCATGTTAGGCCTGGGCCTAGTGCCCTTATGGGATCCCTTATGACCTTTAGGCTTAGGCCACTGGTGACGAAGCTCTTTTCAGAGTCAAAACGGTTCACAGCTGAAGTCGCCTGTATATCGCAAGCAAAGCTGCCTGAGCATCTCATTGCCAGCCGTCAAGGTCAACCTTGCTAGCCCATGCAGCGTGTCAGCACTTCGGGGGAATGGAGGCTTCGAAGGAAAGCAAACGACCTTCACATTTCCACTTGCCGCATGCCTTACTGGCAAAAGCTTAGCGCAAGAGCCTTGAACCCTAAACCCTGAACCTACAAACATGAGTTCTTCCATGCACGTCCTGCAAAGAGACCAGACCAGCCTGGGTCCTTTCCCGAGAGGGGGCGGTTTTGCCTAGAATCCTAGAACACACAAACCCTGGACGGCTTCGGGCTTAGGATTTACGGGTTTATGGTTATGCATTTACCAGCTTTAGACTCCCTAAGCCCTAAGCCCATGTTCGAATGCCGAACAAACACTGGGCCAGCGGCCCGTCGACGATCTTGGACATGGCGGCGCGCTGATCGCTCGTCGGCTCCTCGGAAGTCTCAAAGGCTCCACAAAAGCAGCTGATGGCAGTATTGAAGCGGCAGGCCGTTGTGCGTCGGAAAAACCTACCAAACTAGGCGAGTGCCGGATAAGTCTTCAAAAGAAGACAGAAACGGGGAACGTGAGAATTAACCGTAGGGTGCGAGGCAGCATGAGTATCAGCACAGCGAAAGTTTCTGGACTCATGAGGATTGCACGCTTCTTGAATGCAAGTCAGTCGCCGGCAGTGAAGCACAGGTCCAGGGTCCTTGGTGCATGCTCACACACTAGTCTCACGATCGAGGTCCGGCTATCGCTCTTCAAATAGCCGAAGAAAAGACGAGCACCGCCATTCATGAGGCGATCAAAGCAGGACTCTTGGCAGTTACCGCTGTCTTCTCAGCTGTCGACAGGGAGAACCTCAAAGCCTGCGGCCCAACCGAACCTGACAATGCCTCACTGGACCCTCACCATTCCCTCTGCAGAGTTCGGTGAAGCCAAAGAGCTGACATCTTCCTCGAAGGGTAGAAACTGTATGACCATGTGTGAGGCAGACTCTGCACCTGCAGACTAAAGGGTTTAGGCTTTAGGGTTTAGGGTTTGAGGGGGGGTTCAAGATCTCAGGTTTAACTGGATGCCCTAGGGATTGGAGCGAAAGGCTCAACAGATCCTGACCAAACTCCGCCTTCAGGTTTTCCTTCCGTGCCATCCGCGAGCGTACCCTCTGACAGCAGAAAGGTGTCTAGGGAAAAATGTCTGGAGAAGTATAGAACCCTTGTTGGAACCCTTAAGAGGTACCCTTCTCGAAACCCCCCACACGCCAAGACCCCCTGTATTCAACCAGGCCGGAAGCACTTCTTGCGTCTCAGAACACAAAACCAGCCCGAAACCCTTTTTGCAACAGGCTTTCCACTTCGCCCGGAGTTGGAGCAAGCAGCCCTAGCAGCTTGAAGCCCTAAACCCTAAACCCCTGAACCTTAAACCCCTAAACCCTAAACCCTAAACCCCTAGGCCCTAAACCCTAAACCCTGATCATCCCCAGCCTTTCTTTGGGATGAGGGCAACCATGTGGGGTTGCGAGTCTTTCCTGTCACGCCAGCTTCAGCAACTGTATACATATGCATATACACTGCACGCATACACACATATTCACACAAACACACGCACACACACACAACCAAAAATTATATAAGGGGTACCACATATATATATATATATATATCTGTCATTTTTGCTCTCTATCTCTCACTCTCTCCCTCTCTGCCTGCTACCTGTCTCTTTATAGGCTCCATGCCATGTCTAGAGCCAAGGATAAAGAGCTATACCTCCCCTTGTTTGAACTTATCGATCCCCCGATGGTTTAGTAAGGGTTTAGGGTTTAGGGTTTAGGGTTCGATTGTATGGGGTGTCGGGTTTGGGCTAGTGGCTTCCTGGACCCCCCTTTAAGAAAGCGCTTAATGGATAAAGGACATTAGGGCGAGAATAGACCGTACTCGGGACCTGGGTTGGGCTTACGGTTTAGGGAGCTCAGGGTTCTCCGGGGGTTTTGCAGCTCAGGACCCTATGACCTCATGAGAGCCACAAGTCCCGAATACCACGAAGCACGGCCCAGATTCAAGTGTCCAATGCCTTTCACAATTGAGTTGGATTTCGGGTTACACTGTACTATAAGTATACGGAAGCTACATAAGGGTGATATTCTTATCACGAATTCTTCCAATCCCCATGTTGCATTTGGACGACAAGCCTTGTTTCAAAGGAGACCTTACCGATCAGTCAGGCAAACCCCCTCAAGGAGGAACCTCTGGAGGCCTATTCAAGGCCATTGAGGTGCATTGAACATTGAAGTCCATGTTGAAGCTTATTGAGCACCATGGCCTCTTCGTTCTCTAATCGGATACTCATGCTCGGTCTATCTTGGCCTATCTTTTGCCCCTCCCCAAAAACCCATGGTGCTCAGCCTCAGGGGGACCCTCCATGGCAATGGCCCTCAATGGACCTCGATAGCTTTCACTCACTCCTTGAGGGGGCCTGTACCCTTGGGAGCTCACAGGCACAACAACAACAACAACAAGAACACTGTCCCTGAATACACTCTCCCAGCCCTAAACTTCATAATCCCTATAAGCCCTAAACCCACGATCCTGTAGACGTACCGTGCAATGAGAACCCGCTGCTCCGCGAGCATTGCCTGAGCCGGTTTTCGGAAAACTTGGGGGGGGGGGGGGGGGGG